CCCCTCCAGCACGCGGATTGCCTTCTGCGCCTCAATTTTGGAGTCTGCCCCCGCTAGAACGTCGTCTACATAAATAAATTTTCGGATAATTTGACTAGCCTGCGAATACCTCGGATCTTCGTCGTGGGCTAGCTGTTGCAGGACACGAATCGCAAGGAAAGGGGCGCAATTGACTCCAAAGGTGACGGTTTTTTAGCTTGTTGTCGCGGATTTCCCCATCGGAATTGCGAAATAGAATACGTTGGAGAGACGTATATTTAGGGTTTACTCAGATCTGTCGATACATCTTCTCAATGTCAGCGTTGAATACAAACTTTAAGTACCACCACTTTAGAATCTAAATGGTGAGGTCGGGCTGCAGGACCGTTCCTGCATAAAGGATGTTATTCAGACTGGTTCCGTTTGCGGAAATGCTGGACGCGTTATATACCACCCGGACCTTGGTGGTGAATACAAACTTTAAGTACCACCACTTTAGAATCTAAATGGTGAGGTCGGGCTGCAGGACCGTTCCTGCATAAAGGATGTTATTCAGACTGGTTCCGTTTGCGGAAATGCTGGACGCGTTATATACCACCCGGACCTTGGTGGTCGTACTTTCGGGCTTGAACACCGCATGGTGCGGAAGATAGTAGGACGCTGAATGGCTCGTTGGAGAAACTTCGGTCATGTGACCCAAGTCGAGGTATTCTTGAATCACTGCGTCATACCGGGCCTTTAGGGGGGATCTCTTTTATGGCGCTGCTCATTACGCGAAACCCGGGTAGCCCGGGTCTGGCAGGTGACCGAATTGAAAATTGGCACAATTTAGTAGACTGCGCAGAAACGGACTGATTAAGGCCGGAGATTTGAGCTTGAATGGTCTTAAAAGGGACCTTAATCAGGTTGAACAGCCGTTCCGTGATGAAGGTCGCCTCGGACCCTGAGTCAATCAAGGCTCGAGCTTGAAAGCTGCACCCGACATGACACACGTTAATAAGGGCGGTGCCGGTTCCGAGCCGGAAGCGAAGCACACTTTTACTCCACCGTGTTCTTCTGAGCCACTCGAACCTCTGGAAGTGGGCGCGGGTTGGTGCCTCGTTGACGCCGATGGACTTATAGCGGTTGCGAAGGGGTTACCGCGGTGTAGAAGAGTGTGATGCCGGCTATGGCAGGTGGAGCAGCTGTGGGCACTCGTGCAGTCCCGTTGCTGATGCCCTCGTGCAAAACCGTTTAGGCAAACCTGCTTCCTCTTGATGTAGTCGGCGCGAACATTCTCATCCATTTCAAGAAAACGTGGACATAAGCGAGCTGGGTGATTCCCGCCGAAACAGAGATCGCACCCCTTTGGGGGCAGAAACAACTCGGGTCTCGTACGAATTGAGCCTGCGAATTGAGACGCTCGTGGGTGTCGCTCTTGACGGAACTGGCCCCGAACCGCTAGGTCTGACGTTGTCGATGGCCTCCAGGGTGCGATGACGCTCTGTCAAAAACGCATCTAACTCCCTCCATGTTGGAATTTCGGCATTGTTGCGAATGGATTGCTCCCACAGTGAAAGTGTTATGTTGGGAAGCTTGGAGGACACCATATACACCAGGATGCAATCCCAAGCCTCTACTTGAATCGAGGACATTTCTAAAGCTGCCAGGCAGCTCTGAATGGTGCCCTGCAGATCCTTCTGCGCGACTCCGGATTCCTGAGGCACGGATATTGAAGAGGATCTTCAACTTCCTGTTGACCAACAACCGTCGATTTTCGAAGCGGTCAGTAAGACTTCGCCACGCTGAGGCGATCCCTTCATTGGTGAGCGGGGCCTTGGACACAATGGCATTCGCGTCGCCACTGGTTTTCGAGAGGAGGTGGAACAACTTTCCAACCGGAGTGATACGAGAGATGTGAATGTTAATCGCCATAAACAGGTCTCTGGAGGTGGGCCAACAAAGATAATAGCCAGCGAAAACCTCTGTATCCACTGGTGGCAAACGACACCCGGTGGGGGGGGTGGGGGTAGTGTGGACACTGCTAGCCGCCAAAGCTGACTGAGAGGCGGCTTGTGATATTGTTTCCTCAAGGTTGGCCACATTTTGATAACTGACCAAGTTAATCTAGGCGAGGAAACAGATAGTGTATTGACGGATTCGTCGCTTTTTGACCTTGGAATGGCGGTGGTAGCCCTTGGCTTCAGTGGTGACGCCTGCGGAGATGCGGATGGGGACCTATCCAAGCGAATGGAGGGGAACGGACGTGGTTTCTTGTCGTTTTCCGTGGGCATTCTCGGAAGGAAAGAGAGATGACGGACGAAATTTATATGGAACTCGGGATACTGGTTTAGGCAATGCGTACGACGAACAATCGGAATAGAGCTCACAGAATGCTGAAGGATACGAATGGACCGGAAGATCGGCAATAGTTGAAGTGCGGGGACAGAAAGCTCGCTCCTGAGCAGAGGAGGCACAGTGGACCCCTCACGTAAACACAAGTAATGTATCGTAATTACACCTAGAACGTCTATTCCCTTAGAAGTACATCACTATAGGAGAGAGTTTAAGGCACATGAACCATTTATAGTTTTATATACCGATTACAATCGCCTTTTTGATTATATTGATGGCAATAAAAGTCTTCTTAAACTAAAAACGTTATTTGTTGTATAATTAACTCGTAACGTATCCTAAATTTCCTCGTTCTATTATCTATTTTCCTTCTCTCGCGTCTATCTAGTACGTAAAAGTGCCGTACGTCACACGGCTGCGCCCCTCGGCGGTGGGGAGTCTATACGCAAATCTCAACAATCTGCAACGGTCTCCCAGCATAAGCCCTTCTCGGATTGAGCGATAAAAAAATTAGGACCCCAAATTTTCTCGGGAGTGTCCGTATCACCGGTTATATCTTTTTTATCCCCTGGGGTTCTCAGGCCCGGACTAGTGGCCGACAATGGCACGATAGATAAACCATCTGCCTTGCCAAAAGCCCTTTTAGCAGTCCCACCTACGAAACATATATTTGTTTCGCGGTTGTCCCTTTGTCCAAGGCAAAACAAAAGCCGAAAAATTCAAAATAATGGTGGAAGAATCTAAATTTTATGTTGCTAGGGATATTTTAGCTTTTAAAATAAATGTGCCTAACAACTCTTCGACACAATGTATTAAACCAAAGAATATTTATGTCAAGGAGTTCGAGGCTAAGAAAAAGAAATAATGTCGGAATAATTCTTCTAGGCCTGAACAATCCCAATCCTGATCCAAAAAACTTACCTACTCCCTAGGTATTTCCTATATGAATGGTAGAGATCTACGTAATAGGCTTCCCAACTTATATTCTGATAGTCTTCTGTTTATGTCTCAGGTTATTGTGTTCACAGAAACCAAATTTGTTCCAGTTGTGTTCACAGTATATCAGCTAAGTCGGCCTATCAGGCGTGGGCGTGGAATCCGAAACGAAACTTCTACAAAACTTCTTAGAGTTCTTCCTTGATCTTGTTTTGTTTCAGATCCGGCGAGAGTAAGTATAGCCAGAGTGGCGCCATTGACGCATCCCGACAATCCCTATCTTCATTCTGATTTACAGAATGTATCTTACCGTACAGACAAATAAATATTAGTTTAAAAAAACTAAAAAACACGCTTTTATAAATAACCGAACTAAAAAGAAGAAAATAATTTATGATTACAAACAAAATTATTAAATTCAGAGCAATAGTACATAATTATAAACAAGATTACTAAATTCAGAGTTAAAAGCGTGTTGTGCACCCGGACACACGGTAGTATCTCGCGCCAAGTACCTGTTCTTTTTTTTTCTGAAATTAATTTTATCAATAATTGTTTCAACATGTATTCAGTTCTACTATTGCTGTGAATTTGTCTGATATACGTAATGCTGTCACTAAGCACAACGTTTAAATTCATACGTGATGAGATATTCTGCAGCTGCACTGTTTTTGTTAATGTTGTTCACAGAAATACATTTATCATTGTTTGTAACAATAGTTAAACATGTACTTGGCAAAGCATTACACAGTGAAACTGTTATTTGTAGGATTTTTCTATGATTTCATAATTCGCCCCTTACAGATAGTTGCCCTTAGAATAATTGTAACATTGATTATAGATGCGGCCCACGCTCTCAAGTCTGAATTTAGTGATCTTGTTTAAAATTGCTCTGAATTTAATAATTTTGATTGTAATTATAAATTATTTTCTTCTTTTTAGTTCGGTTATTTATAAAAGCTTGTTTTTTTTTTTAGTTTATCTTAAACTATTATTTATTTTATATTTTTTAGTGTGGGTACCTATAAACGCGTAATTTTTTAATTTTCTAAGCTATCAATTATTTTTCGTATTTCAGTTCGATTTATCAATAATCAATTTTTGCGGACATCTAATTATGAAATATCTTACGAATTATGTATTTCGTAATCTCATTATTTCATTTAAGGCCTCTTTGTTGCATGGGGCTTTGAGCAATCAAGTTATGCTTGTCCAGCAGGCATGGGCAGATCGCGCGCTAGCTCTGTCTCTCTTACTCATTTACGGACGCTCTATAAAAAAAAGAATTTATCAATCCTGACGATTCTAATCAGGAGAATGAAAATGTTTTATCAAGTTATTGCATTATCACCGTTTCAAGCTTATCAGATATTTGGAAACCTTTGAAAATAGTGTTCAAAGATTCCGTTACTTACATACATACATCCCAAACTCATAAAAGCGTATTTAAAAAGTCTGTGCGTTATTGTGAAAAAATCATTGTTTAGAATGAAAAATAAAATGGTGTTTTTACATTCACTTTTTTAGTCAATTTCTGTTATAATTGTATAGCTCGGCCTTGAATAGATGTCGATACTGTAAACTTTCAGTATTTATCTCGACGAAAACAAAACGGACGGAAACCTCATTAAAATATCAAAACCGTTTCACCGTGATGTTACCCGCGGGACTATTGTATAACATGCTGTACTTAACCTATCGGTAGGATATCGATATGTATAATATTGTAAGCTAATCAGTAAGTGTTCATAAAAGAAATATACATACGATTTATTTATGTTGACCAAAATAACACTCACATAAATTTTTAAAATTTATTTTCTCTTAAACTCGTGGATAAAAAACTATATAAAGTTTAACATTTCTAAATGTAATATCTATGAAATAAAGCCAAATATTCAACCATATTTTAAGGGTTATGGCGGATTTAGAAGCTGTTTTAGCTGATGTCAGCTATCTGATGGCAATGGAAAAGTCGAAATGCACTCCTGCAGCAAGAGCCAGCAAGAAACTAACTTTACCAGATCCCAGGTATACAACATACATAGGCGTTTGTTTACCAATTTTAGATTTGTATACATTCCTTCATGTTTACATACATATATCCGTCAGATGCGGATGTATTAAAAATATTAATTAAAATATATGCGGATAAAAAGATTTTCTGTTTGTATTGTGTTTTAGCTAAATTGCAAGTAATTTCATTTATTTATTTGAAAACATTTATGTGTACTGTCAACCCAACTTCAGAATAAATTTAGAATATGTACATATGTATGTATGTATTGTATATATGTATATATATAATTCTGAAATTTAACCGTTTATTTTTAACTTTTTAATTGATAAGCTATTAATGTAAGCATGCATTTGTTAAATTTTTGAATATATATTTTATTTTTTATTATTATATGTTATAAATAAAAATGTTTAATGATCCTATATACATACATATGTACATATGTATTTAAAATACATTCGAACATACGACATACAATACATTCGTACATACATACATACATAGCTGGATCTTAAGTATGTATGTATATTCTAACGTATGCATATGGGAGTTTTATATATCCCCAATGGACACAAATTTCTACAAATTTGAACATACCTATGTACATATGTATGTATGTACATATGTAGATGCAAAGCAGAGAATACTTTTGAATATTTTTGTAAAAGATTTTTATTATTCATTGGTTTATGTTTTATATTTTTAAATAAATAAAAATGAGATCCTCAATAAAAAACTTTAGGTAAGGGTGAGGTAAAAAAAATGTTTTATTTTATTTATTCCGAGCCCTTAAAACTTGTAAAATTTGGATATCGCGAAACATAAAGTAAAGAAAAACACAAAAAAAAAACATACATACAAAAAAACTTCCGGAACTTTTTCAAAAGAGCCGTCGCGACTCTAATGAAGAAAGACCGGATAATACACGTTTACTGTGTTTAATCACACAACACAAAAATATTTGCAATGAAAAAAAAAACGCAATGGAATATTCAGTATTTTGCTTTAATGTGAGACATTGTTGCACATTCCTTTTTGGTTCTTTATTTAGATCTTACATTGTACTAGAATTCACAAGACGAAAATCGATCTAGGATAACTTCACATTTGTATGTAGATGAATGATAATATGCAAGAGAGTACTATCACGATCAGGTTTTCAATCGAATTCAAGACAATACTCTGAACTGCTCACTTAATTACCTTACACTTTCTAGACATTTCTTAAAAATTTCAGCAGTGCACCGCCTTTTTCTTCGTTAGAACCATACAAAATTTTATTGTGGAATCTTTACTAGGACAGGTTTCGTTGCCTTCGAGTACGTACAAAAAAGTAAACGGGTTCATAATTTTGCACCACTTAAATAGGACACTTAAGCATTACTCATGATTTTTGTGTATTTAAACCAACCTAACATTTAAAGTCAAAGCGTATTTTGGTAAAGTGATAAATTTTAGTAGTGTCTTGGTCCACACTTCTGCTCCAAAACTTCCACATATTTCCTGCAAGGGATGCATTAAATTTTTTTCAAATTCAATTATATTAAACCTAGGTGGTCATGCTTATTTTTATTATGTTAAGATGCTTCGTCGAATCGACGATGTTTTATGTTTTTTACAGCGTTTGATTCATATTTTTAAGAACTCAAATTTAAAATTAATATCTTAGTTTCACATTGTTAATATACTTAAAAAGTAAAAAATAATAACCAACCATTTACAAAAACCATATTTAAAATTCAAAAAACGGTGTCCATTGGCCATCGGTTGGATTTTCGAGCACAGCTCATGACGCTGCACATTTGGTCAAAAGTATCGACGCTCATCTTAGTGGTATTAGAGAATTCGATAATGTGAGGGTTTTAAGTCTCGTTTACATTTTCATTACATGGCGACAACAAGAAAATAACTTTATGTGATTTCTGCTTATAAGGCAATAAAGTCAGCTCTTTACCTCATAACTCATTCTCTAAACCAACATTTTGAAGAACAACATTACAAACAAGAAAGGAAGCTAAACTCGGCACTCCGAAGTATATATACACTTACAGATAGAACTTCGATGACTTGGAATCCAGACAATATAAATTATATATATTGAGGTTAAAAAACAAAAAAAGGAAGCTAACTTCGGCACGCCGAAGGTTATATACCGTTGCATATAGAGCTTCAAGGACTAGGAATCCAAACAATATAAATTATATATATTTATGTTTAAAAACAATGAAGTAATACCTGCTTTCATTTCATTTACCTATACATATTATATTAACAATTTACATTTACAGATTTGCTCTTTTCCCTCTACATCTAACGATCGTTTGTATGGCACCTATATGATATAATCGTCCGATTTTTATTAAAGTTGACACAAAATTTAAGACTAATATAAAATGGCTTTATCTCAAATTTGATGAAAATCTGTTAATTGTATTAATTTTTCGATCGCTCTTAAAGGAGCTATATGATGTAGTAGTCCGATAAAATTTCATAAAATTTTACACAAAATTGCATAATAATATGAAATGACTATATCTCAATTTTTAAATTCTGTTGAAAACTGAAAATGTTATAATATTTTTTGTTAAAATTTTATATTATTTTTAGTCGTCCGATCCGGCCCGTTCCGACATATATACGAGTGAGAGTATATAGAAGGCTAACAAAGTTTCATTAAGATAGCTTCAAAACTGAGAGACTAGTTTGCGTAGAAACGGACAGACGGACAGAAGGACAGACGGACAGACGGGCTAGATCGACTCGGCTATTGATCCTGATCAAGAATATATATACTTTATATGGTCGGAGGTGCCTCCTTCAGTGCGTTGCAAACTGCTGACTGAAATTATAATACCCTGCAAGGGTATAAAAAGTCAACCTAAAGACATGCTTCGTCGTTTCGACCACGAAATTTTTCAAAAATGACACTGTCATGCAATTGAGCTTATACTTTTGCACAATATTGTATCTCAGCAACTTCTAAAGCTGTACGAAAAACCAGGAAAAAAAAATAAATAATGGGAGTAATCGATCATTCACAAATGATCGATTACTCCCATTATTTATTTTTGCGTCGTCGAATCAACAGAACTATGAACTCGTAGGTACCATAATAAGAAATGACTTACCAATTTATATTTTTAGCATTTAAAGTAACTTAAGTTTTAAGAGTGACTTTAAGCACAGATTTGTCCTTTTTCTTTTGTTAAATTTTTTTTTGTGCGTCCTTTCATGTTGTTCCCAAATTTACATATATTTCTTAAATAAGCGAATATAATGTATTGTACTTAAATTTTGAATTGAAAAGCCAGTGTAAACTGAAGCATGTTCTATTTATATATATATTTATTTGTTTTAAACTCATGCTAACATAAAGTATTTCATTTTTTCACACTAATGCTAAGAGTAGTTGTAAAGAGAGTTCACAGGGTATCCTATTCAAGCGTCTAGAGTAAATATAAAGTGTATTAAAATATATGTATAAATTGCATTAAAAAAAAATAATTTCGAATAAAAAATAGTACAAAAAGAAATGTTCTCGATGCCGTTTTCGAAAGTTTGTGCTGGTTAGTGTCTTTCGACGTAACTTGTGGTTATTTTTGGATGTGCATCAAGTTAGCAGGGCAACTTTAGGAAATCAAATGTTGAATTATACAATAATTTGCCGTTTTATTTGAATTTTACAGATTTGTATTTTTCCTCCACATCTCCCGGGACTCCCGGTGTCTATGAGCCATTCTGAAATTGATGTGGCTTTAGAGTTATTGTAATGCAATATCTTAAGTATGTTACGTAATTGTTAGGGTTCGCTCCTTTGTGCTTCGAACACTGTCCAACAAAGTGTCCAAACATTTCACAAGCGTAGCAGGAACCGCGCTCTCTCTTTGGCTTGAAGCACTTTAGCAAAGTGCCCTTTGGCATTGCAAGTGGGACAGCGGAGATCCATATTGGCAGCCCTCCTCCAGTTAGGTGCTTTGAAAGAATGCCTTAGAATGTCTTACGGCAAGAGGACTTCTGGGGAAACCCTCAGAATCTGCATCGGCTCGGAGAAGCATTCTATGCGACCCTGGTTGTGCAGACCTGGTTCTGGGATTTCCTCTTTGATGTTTTCCAGGAGTTCGTTTTGTTTTTGAATAAGACACGCCATTCACGCTTCTGGAATGCGCTGCTAAGCTCTCTTTTGAACTTTTTTGCCCCGATTAGCTAACGTGACGTTGATCAGCACTGAAAACTGTCTTCTCTTCAACACTGGCGTCGCTCATATCGATGTTATCGGTTCTGATGCTGATAAATTTAACAGAGTCACGGTTAGCGCACATGTTAACATTGCTGGAGTTTTCATTGTTATCCGTGATGACGTCAAGAACTTGGTGAATGGATTTGTTCTTGTATGAATTCGATGCAACATGGCCATGCTGGAATCTGTCTAGTTTCTTATCTTCTGCTACTTTGCTTTCTCAGCATCCACAAGAGAAAACTGCTTCATGGTTCCTGTCTAGTTGATGCTCAAGTTGGTAGGTCGCCACGCGCTTTAACCCTTGCTATTGGCAGCCGGACGTTTGAGGCCTAACGCTGCCAACCATTTTTTTAGTTGTACTACCAAAAACTGGCCTAGTTCTGTGTCAGGCTTCGTGAATAAGACCACTTCTGATGTTGTGGATGACAATAACGGTGCTTAATTTAATTTAAAATAGTTTATTAAAGCTCCACTTTTTTACACTTCGAGTATCAGCAACCGAATTACGCGTTCGTCGTACTCCTTTTCTTCTGCTCTGCATTCTGAGCTATGTTTATATTTGTATCTCCTAATGCTAATATTTAAGTTAAACAGAGACGACTATATTCCTTATAATTCTAACGGGGCTTTGATCTTGTGTGCCTCTTTAATACAGTTGGCCTCGTTACTTAATGCCTGTTATTATGTGGTACAGTGGGCCCTAAAGGCCCTCATAAAATGAGGTGAACTGTTTTGGCATTCGCAGGCTATCAACGAAAAATTGGAAAGTGTCAA